ATACGCTAGAATCATCGATGCCAATTTCTCTTCCATGGAGTCTGCGAACGCGATAACGGAGTTGGATGAAATGAACGTTTAGCTGATACGGCTTAGTCCACTGCAATAGCATAAACATCAGAGACAGAATCAATAGTGACATTATAGTTTCATTGTTTCAATGCGGCTCTACTTAACGTTTCTGTTCTGCTTCCAGAAACGCAAGCCAGAAGAGGGCAGCAGTCATCCACTACTTTTTCATAGGATGGCTCATGTTTGTGGTGCTAACAGCAGCGCACCACCGATGGCGCTTATCTGATGATGATAATGATGCTAATTTTTGCCAGTCTCGCCATCTTTGTCGTCTATTTAGTCCCTGTCATTTACTTACCGTCGTGGGGTCTGTGATAATGCTGTTTTTGTCTACGATATAGCTTCCTTGTACGGACGGAACAGAAACTAAGACACATGCTTAGTGCTGTTGCTAAAGACATGAAGATGATTCAATGGCTAAGTAGCCGTTTATTAGTATATTTGTCTCCCTGAGATTCGAAGTAGATTTGGGAGTTCTGTCGTGACACCATATATATCTATCTATATATATATATATATAGGATAGGGCCTGTCGGCAGGATAAATCGGCTCAATAATTTCGACAGCTCAGTCGGAATCCGCCAGAGGACCGCCGTGTCGCTGACCCGGCAATGACAGCGATCTTCATCCTTTCGGCAGTCATTCTTCGCTGGATCTGCTTGCAGAACTCGATTCCACAAAATGTCAAGTAAGCAAAGTGTCGCTTTGTAGTCTGTCCATTTGTCCACAAAGAAAAGCATCTAGAAATGTGGAAGTGTGGTTGACTTGGCAGCACGAGCTTGATGGCGGGGTATCCAAGTCCCACTATTATGGCCTAAGCTCATTCCACAGGCCATAATCGTGGGAACCTTCTCTGCAGCTTAGTCTGCTTTATATCTCTGTGGGTTTACTATGAGTCTGAGATCATGTCAAAACAACACACTGCAGTAATTCTAACACCCCGATCACCCGGCGGAGTGCATCTATTTACTGGATGCCGAGCAGGAACAAGGATCCACAGTTCATTTCGAGAAAATGCTAGTTGTGGTAGGAAAGTGATCACAGATGTTTAACTTCTGTTTGTTTGCGATAGATTCTAAACAATCACCCGTTCTCAATTCCGTTCCTGCAGTAGTTTTTGTACGAGTATTCGTGTACGATGGATGCTGGAAGTCCAAACTAATTATAGGTATGCAAAACGATCTCGCTTACGTCTTCCAGTAAGCAGTACGTTTCCATTCACGCCATCCGTTTTGCCTATTTCTTTTTTACCTTTTCTATTGTTTGCGACCCTTTAGTCAACCTCAAAAAGAGTTTTCTGTTTAGGGTAACGTTTGTCGCCTAAGAGGCGTCCCTTATACACAGTGTATTACAAGTGTTTACTGCAGGATATTCGCGATCTTTTGTTGGGGTCTCTATTGCTTAAATGAAACATCTTAGACGATAGTCTATGTAGATATGTACCCGCCTATAGATTCGTTTGTGTCAAGATTTGTCTATGTAGGGAACACATCTGGAAATCTCTTCCGCATGAAGGTGATCGCACAAGTAGGAACACATATATTCAATCGTCAATTGTTTGTTTTTCCGACTTTGTAGGTTTCCGCTAGACTTTTCAAAAGTTTTGCGAAAGTTTTCAGCAGATCAACTACATTTGTCATACGTTCTTCTTTTTTCAGAAATCATGTCTACAACCGAAATAATCACCGTATGCCATAACTAACGGTATCACGCGTAACAACAGTTCCCATTAGGCTTATAAAATACTGATATTGATGAATATGGACGACTTCGGGCCTATTATTATATTTAGTATTTTATTACGTGATTTCATTGAGCCTGCATGTGTCCATGGTTACAACTATCGAATGCAGGCTAATGAGAATCCTAGTTTGGGCTGCTTATTAAGATCGGCATCTATGGGCTTCTGTTCAGTCTGCTCACAGCTCGGTGTATATTATTTGAATTGTTTCCCATCATCGTCGACTTTCATTACTTTTTTAAATCCCAGCAATGGGCAATTCTGTACGTGTCACCGCTGATGTTAACGGTCGCAGTCTCTCCACGTTGTGCTAATGGCATCGAAAGCAGTTCCAGGCTGGCAGCTGCGGCTTCTGGCCTATGAAGCGGCTCTTGATAATACCGTACAGAGCTAATTAATGTCAATGTGTGCTTTTTTTCTTGGCCCGCTGATTGCTGGAATCATTCACTCGAGCTGAGCATCTGGACCATCGTTATATACGTTGCTTGTGACTCTGTACAGTTATCTAGTTGCTGTAATGACGCCAGCCTGAGCCTGAGAAGACGCGGTATCGTCTCGCTGTTCCACTGCAATCTTGTCTGTGCGCAGGAAACTAGTCCAGCCGTCGCGGCTACGGTTGGTCGCTGATTGGCTGCCTCCCGCGGACGGATGCCAGGGTCCAGATCCTGGTGCAGCAGGATAGCGGCAGCGCTGCTGTTGCTGCTTTGGACAATCATCCTTGTCATTGTACTTATCACGTGGTCATGCCTGTTTGTCTACTATAATAAATAAGCCAACTGCTATCGTAGCCACGATCTGCCGGGATAAACGTCCGTCCGAAAAACTTACTATTCGCTCCCTGGAAGTACTGATAGGACGCGCGTACATCGGTTACCCGCAAAGATGACAACGGCACAAGCAGCAGCAACTATAGTAGCGGTAGTAGGCGTCGCCGATGGCGGAACGTCTTCGACACAACTGATCCGCGTTTTTCGGGCTTTCTTTGGTCGATCGCGGATTCTCGCTTAAGGCCAGCAGTCCATCGACTGGCTTCGTCTCCTCGTCGACGTTCGAACTATGCCGCAATAGTAATGTTTACGGCAACTACAACAAAAAAAGGAAATCCGAAGACTTATCGGAAAGCGAGTTTCGTATGGGCTCGACATGGCAGACTGATGCCAGGATACCTGCCTGCAGCGATATATTGTACAGGCACTTGGTCGGCACAATATATCGCTGTGGACAGGTAGACTAATAAGGCAGGGCACTATCAGCGCCGTTGATTCAACATGCTTCAGCACTCTTATCGAACGGACCCAGGACGACGATGACTACGGCGCCGCTGGCGTTATAAGCGTTAGTCGAATCAACAGGTGCCGAAAGCTGATAGTGGAAATTAATGCGGTGAAAATTGAAAACGATTTTACCTTCTACAACGATCGTCGTACATTGTAGTCCATTCTTTGTAGAGTATGCAAGGCTGGTCGCAGTTGGCCCCCCGAAATACTCGGTTTTTATGTTTGTTTCGTCCGCTAAGCTGGTCTCCCACGTTTTTTCTATTTTCATTAGGCTACAGTCTAGCAGCGGTAAACGTATAATAGGTGCAGTGGTTATATTCTGGTCTGAATTATTTATTCCATGCCGCCACACAATACTAGAGCCCCGAACATGGTGTGTGAAGCGTCCGATTCGTGAGCAGTGGCAGAGTCGCAAGCTGTCCACTCTTCGCGTTTGCCGACTGTGAAGGCTGATGACAATCCAGTGCGATATAGACGCACGTAAAGTGACTTCAGCAGCGGCGACCAGCTCTAACATATGGGTTTAAAAGCGGCTTGGCAGTAAAAAGTCTGATAACAACAAGCGCGCATAAATGACAACGCCATGCAATGAAGACCACAAGTAGACAGGTGCTTGTAATCATGCGCACACACACACACACACACGCCCGCTGTTTAACACAGGCATGGTGGAAATCTGTACTTTCTCAAGATGGTGTGGTACTTCTCTCCGGCTGTGTTTATATTGTAGTTCAAGTTCAAGGAGTCAAGCTGGTCAGTCTGCCAATCGTGAATGCACTACGGTGAAAAAGCTCTCGTAAACCATGAACCAACAACCGCGAGACGCGCCAGTGTCGGAGATTATCGCATTGGCATCGAATAGTACCACGCAGACTCAGATTTTCCAAGTACATGCGTAACGAGGTGTGTAGCTTCGCATAGTCTGATATGGTCACATACGTATGAAATTATACAAGACCTCGTGTAATATCGTGGTAACCGTACAGAACTACAGTAGAAGGAAACGAAGGAACAAAGCAGCAGCGAGTAAGTTCGGAAATGCCATAATTAGATACCAGGATGCCAACACAGTTTCCGACGACGTTGGCAGTTGGTAACGGCTTCTTACTTGAGCAGTTGGTTGGCAAACTTCTTTTGGACAGCCTTGTTTTCTTTGCTAAACCAGAGTATCATAGACCACTACGCTCTTACAATAGTGAGCACAGTGTGTACACAGAAGATCCGTATACGGTGGGTGCTTTCCGATGTCGCCAAAGGCTCAGTCAACCTGACGCGTTAATCGTTCCGATGGCCTTCGGCAACGCGAGCGTAACATCGCCTGATCATTGGGCGCAACAATGGTATCGACCACTGCCATATCGCTGCCCTCGCAGGACTCCACTGGCCTGATGACACCAACCCGGGGGCAAACTTGTTTCGTTTTGGTCGCTAAACCGGGAAATTTCGTTGGTGCCCCTCATAGCAAGAAAAGCAGAAACTGATAAGAAAGCCATATTGTGAGAATATATGCATGCAACACACAGGCGTAAATAATAATCAACACCTAGGACATTTAGGGTTCTCAGTGAAAAACATAGTCAAACACAGAAATTGTTATGCGTGTCGAAACATTGCACAAGGGGACTCAATGTTAACGCTGGTTGATTGTAGAGGGACAGATTAACCATAACCACAAACTGTTGTTGGGTTTGTTTGGTTTTGTGTAGTACGGCTTAAACAGCGAATCGGTGGTATGGCTGTTCGATCTCTCCGATAGGCCACAGTATTTTAACGGACGGGTCTGGATAGCTTAAAAATGACATTTAGAATAAGTCGGTGATAAATATTCATCTTTTATGCATGGATTCTAATAGTATAATGAAAAATTAATAACTTCTAAAATACGATAGATTTTTTCGTAATGTTTTCAGTAAATTCATTGGAGGAACATGATCTGCGAGAGGGTGATAATGTCGTTCTCGAATGTCCCCGAATCAACAAATACACACCGGAACGGAATGCGGTTCTATTCTGGACACGAAAACTATCAGGTCAAACTACGAGCAATGCTGCGGTCGGGGACACGTCTCTGGAGACCGGTTACACCGTGACCCTCGAAGAGGATATGTACAAGCTGGAAATTGATGACACACGGTATGAACGCGATGACGGAGTGTTTCGTTGCGAAGCTAGAGAAAAAGGCACAGGGAAAATTATGTACGCAAAGGAGCATCGCGTCACCATACTGATGGCGCCCGGTGAGCCGAAAATTCGTCCATCACCGCTGCTAACCGAAGAGGGAAAGACGTATAATCTGACTTGTTCGTCGGTCGGAGGCAGTCCCGATCCCGATATCATGTGGGTCAAGGACGGTCAGGAGGTTCCGTCTGAACTTAAACAAGGCGGTCAACGCGATAATCCGACAAAAGCTATCCTCACTGTGATACCGACCAAAAATGATGATCGAGCACAATATACTTGCATGGTACGCAGCCGAGCTCTGCCTTCGGGAACGCACCTCGACTCCAAAGTAACCCTCAGGGTGTCGTACGCCCCGAAGGTATCTGTTGGTGAAGAGGTCCTCCGAGTGATGCAAGGAGAGAACGCTGTACTGAACTGCAAGGCTGATGCCAATCCAGAGGTCCGCAACATAAAGTGGTATCGTGGTAAGCAACTGGTAAGCAACAGTGGTTCTCACGTTCTTAAGGCAGTGACCCCGGATGACTCTAATGAGTACACATGCATTGCACAAAACGGTGTCCTGCCCGATGGCCAAGCTACAGTACGTTTGGATGTTCTTTATGGACCCCGAGTGCGAGTTCCATCGGAGCGTGAAGCTAATGAAAACGATCGGGTCATGGTTATCTGCGAAGTCGAATCCAATCCCGAACCGTCGAGAATTTACTGGATACGTGAGGGTGACGACTTCCGTCAAGAAGGGCCAGTTCTGAACATCGAACCCGCGATGCCCAGGGATACCGGCCTTTACTTTTGTGTCGCCGAGGTTGCTATGGTTCCGTCAACTATGAGTCGGCAAAACTTCGAGTCAAAGGTGGTAGGAAACGCAACCCTTCAGCTTAACGTCAAGCGTAAGTGTCATTAATATTGAGAACTGGGATAGGTTCTCTGTTGTGCTTCGGATCGCTAGCATGCAATTTATCCGATAAGCCGCTTTTCTTATCTTGTTGTCGATGTTAGCACTTCTTTCCCATCTCTGAACAGATGTATAGCCTATTTCGGCATTACACATGCTGATCACTCTTTTGACTACCGAGATAACCTCTACACCTTTTTCGTTCTTTCTAGGGTTCTTTTTCTCTGCACCACTAAACCTCATAACATAATCCTCTAATCTCAATCCATCTGTGCCTTTACAGACGCACCTGGAGACACCCGTATTCTGCCCGTCCAACCAATTGCTGTTGTGAACAAAGCATTTACCCTCGAGTGCACTTCGGATCCAAAGGGTTATCCTCAGCCTTCTTATCGCTGGTGGCGTGAGGGTAGCAAACATACCGTTCTGTCAGAGCTACCAAATTATACCATCGTGAACGTACACCAAAGTCATGAAGGCACTTACTATTGTCAACCGTCAAATCGTTTGGGAGAAGGTACCATAGCGAAAATTGACCTGCAGGTAAACGAGGCTGCCACGATCACCAAGCCACTACGATCACAGAATGTTCACAGGACCGGGGATACCACCCAGCAAATGACCTGCCATGCCAAGGGCAAGCCAAAGCCTTATGTTCGTTGGACTCATAACGGACAGAACATTTCGGCCGCCGATCAGCGCTTCAGCGTGGCCACTAACGAGAAGGCCGAAAGCAACAAGGCTGTTACCGTAAGTTCATCCCTAACGTTTGTCGAGCCGTTAACCGCAAACGAGCGTGGCAAATATGCCTGCCATTTCAGCAATGGTTTTGGTGACGAGGCGACATCGGAGATGATTTTGCGGGTCGAACACTCACCTGAGGTTCGCCACACGTACAATCGCGTAGCATTTGATATTGGCGACAATGCTATTCTTGAATGTCGGATGCAGGCCTACCCGGAGCCGACTTTCGAATGGATGTACCGCGGCCGTATTCTCGATTCGTACAAGCAATACTCAACCAATCGGACCGACAATGGTGATGATATATATACTGGCCTACTGAGCATAGCAAAGATCAAAGAAGAAGACTACGGTGATTACACTTGTCGTGCGTACAACCAGGTTGGACAGGACAAGAAAACGATCATTAAGCTCGTGAAGAAAAGCCAACCGGACAGGCCGACCGATGTGACCGCTATGGATATTCAGTCGGACCGTGTAACACTGGTCTGGAAACCAGGATTTAACGGGGGTTACAGAGACACGCAGTTTGTTGTGAACTTCGTCGATGCTAACAACGAGCAAAGGGAAAAGAATGAATCTTGTCATCAATCAAACCCCTGTACCGTCAGTGGCCTTGAGCCGCTCGCCCGATACACGTTCAAGGTGCTGGCATCGAATCCTCGTGGATTCTCGGAATACTCAGAGCCGGCGCACGTCCTGACGAAGTTGGCCCTTAAGGAGATGCCCCGCCCGGTCATGGCACAGTACGATAGCACCAATGGGATGGTATATATTAGCATGAATGATCTGCCGCATCAAGCATCGCTTGAACACTTCGCTATTCGGCTTGAGGCTCGTATTCGGGGAGAAGAGAACTGGCAAATGCTTCGTGAGGGCATACCTGTTGACTCTAGCCAATCACAGGTCGAAGTAGATGCGTCCGCCGATCAGATCGACCCGAATCAGTTGTCCGATGTGAGAGTGATGGTATGTTTGCAGAGCAACCTGACGTGGTGTGGAGACGCGCGTCTTGCTGAACCCTTCAACCATGAAAACTGGATTTCAACACAGGCAGCAAATTCGTCCTTGTCGACAATTTCTATGATTGTGACAATCTGTGTCGGACTCGGCCTGTTCTGTGTTGTCCTTGTGCTTCTGTGCTGCTGCTGGAAGCGACACTCGAGCAGTCAACAAACTGAAAAGAAAGACTACAACGCCCAATTAAACTCTACGATAGCCAGTACCCAACCACCATGTTATTTTGACACAATGACTAAGTCAGGTATCGTCGAAACCGCAATGGACGAACCGGTCAAGAGTAACGGAGCCGTTCCTGGAGCTGAACAGCCAGTCAATGGTGGCTTTGCACATGCTCACCCTCAGTACCTCGACCATGACCCGATGTATGGAACTATGATGAATACAAACGACTACTACATTGGCAAGCAAGACGCTTATTCTCGTATGTATCCTTATCATACACTATTATTTATTGGGTTCATCTATGCGCATAGTAGGAGATTGGTTGCTAGACATCATTAAAAATTACCACGAACATTATTATTAATTAACGTAGTTTACGTAGTTGCCCATTAAACAGATTACCTTATCGATCATTCAAGGCCTTTTATTTAACCACATACGTATTTCCTTTCTTATTGCTGTTTGTTTTCATCTCATCATCCGGTATCGACTTCAGCTTACGACCCGAACCCCGGATACTTCGCCTACCCAGGTGATCACGGATTGGCTGAAAACGGCATGCATTATGATGTATCGGGTCTGCCGAACCCTTACGGAACGACAGATGACCTCGTCCACGGGCACTACTTAGGTCATACACCAAACCCAATGGGTGGACAGCACGCTGACCAGCAGGTTAACTGCAACGAGTCCGTTGATTCAGTACAGACCAATGGTCAGCGGAGGGTGGTTCGAGAAATCATTGTATGAGCAGACGATAGCAAGAAACTGACTGCTTCTCAACACTAAGGCGCACATGCAGGCAAATATGTATTTCATACGGGACAAAACGCGTTAATACCGAAACAAGCGGTAGAAAAACACAGTCTAGCGCATCCGCCAAACTGAAGAATGTTACAATAGTTTCCGGGTGTGCGATTACAAGAAAGATGTTTCAGATCATTTTACTACTATGACTACAACTATTACAACTATAAGAAAAACTTACGCTCACAACATTGCCTGTGCAATGGAACCGAATGGATGGCCGTCCACAGAGCAGGCTCCGGTATATTGAGCCTGATTTAGGGCTGTACATGCAAATATTGAAGAGAAAAGAAAGAGCCCCACATTAAAGCTGAGCCTTAGCTGGTACCTTAGCCCAAGCTCAACAGGCAGATCTGTTTCGGTCCTACTGATGGTTTTGGTGTGGTTGAACTAATGTTTCTAATTTGTACAGGTTGCCTTTGAACGAATGTCGTCCGTTGAAGAATAATAGGGTTATGGCAAATGGGCCAAATTAATTGTTGTTGGATAGGCCCTTGGCCGACTGTATATGCTGTATATAGTACACAAGTTATAACTCATGATTAAACAAATGGGGTTGTTTGTGAGGTTTTTGGCGTAGACGCTAAACGTGAAAGGGGGCCAGGGCAGGGACGGAAGTCGAGCGGCAAATCTAAACGAGTGTAAGGAAACTGCTTGTGTAAAAAGCAAAAAAATAAAAGAATAACCACTGAACGAATATATATATATGTATATATATATGTATATGTATATATATATATATATATATATATGGAAGTGTACTGTAACGTCACCAAGTAACTGGGCGTCGATGGCGATTTTAGTCGAGATAACATTCAGCTGATAGTAGAAGACAAATGATTGTGTCATAGGAACGATAGTCTAGGAGCTGCTTCTGCCACAATGCGAGGAACGCCACAGAAGTGTGCCAAACAGAGCTAGCTCCAGCGAATCGAAGGGATCAGTGAGCCGCTTCAGTCAGTGGCCCTGCCAAAATACAAAAAAATACAGAAAAATACAATATAAATGGCAAAGTTGTAATGGAAAAGGGATCTTGGAATGAATACCGTAGGGATGTGCAGAATCGAAAAACACGGCGATATCGCACTGAACCCGGTGGAAAAAAAACAAGGCAATTTTTTATTTTTTCACAAAACATGGCGATGCATCGCGGCTCTCGTGCGCCGAAAGAACCGCTGCTGAAAGAGACATTTCTATTTATTAGCAGTAGCACGATGTGGATACACTAATGCTTCTTTCAGATCATTAGAAGACGAAGCTTCTCGTACGTTCTACTTAGTGCCTTAGAGTGTAACAGTAAAGAAAAAAAATAAGCTTTTGTTTTTTTTACTTGCATTTCAATTACATCACTAACTTGGCCAATGAAGCAGATGTTGGAAAAGTAAGTTCTGGGGACGTTACAGTTGAGACTTGTAAGAAAGCGGATATCATACGCAAACAATGGTTGAATTTCTGAAAATTTCGGCAAAATGGCAAGACGAACGTTTCAATGTTTAGTCTTTTCTACTGCCAACTAGGTGGGTCAAAATAACTACATACGATAGTTGCTTACGTGGAGTCTCACATATCGAGAAATCAATACTGAGGAACCCGTTAAGCGGGCCAAGAACGAAAAACAGGCTCGAAGGTTGCCAAGTGCATGGAAATTGCCACATCTGTCCAGAGGGCTCAAAAGGTTGGGGGTAGTTACCGAAGGGTGTATTTAAAGCGAGACGTTTCCGCCAGAAAAAAGAACGCAGGGGTGATCTACAGAGGTAGATAAAATATGGATGCAAGATATGAAGTAATGCATGCATAGTTATATCAATATAGTTAAATCGTCTGTTTGTTTCCGCGTGATTGTGAGCGTGAACGGGACGTTCGGATACATTAACGCGAGTAGTGTGAGGGCAAATAAGAGGAGGATAGATGGATTATTTATACCTTTTGATTATTAGGGAGTGCCATAGTAGCCCATACGTTGCCTTGTCGGGGGCTTCGGAGCTCCTTCACAACATTTATTTCATTATTCATACCCTTATACAAAGGCGATATAAGACAACAGCCAACAACTTTAACAACAGCTACACACCCACGCTTCTCACACAGAGAAAGGGATCGTCTGCTGACACAGAAAACTCAACAAATAGCCAATACAACATATACGAAGAGATATATATATATATATATATATATATATATATATATATATATATATATATCGTAATGTAAAGAGTGTAAGGGGCTATCATTTTTGTTGTAAACTCCCGCAACTCAGTGACGTACCGAACACGTCCATCTGCAGGATACACAGAATAATAATAATAATCTGAGACAGATGACACACATTGTACACGCACATAATCCATTGAAAAACCACACTTCTATAACAATACAGTCGCGAAGAAAGACACGAAGAACGATGCCACGGTACGCGGCCGCGATAAGTCTGCAACGCTCATTTGAATAAATTATTGCGAGACGGGAATAGCAATGATTCCATTGGATGTCAATGTAACGTGAATGTATATATAAACATATAGGGCACAACACGCGTCTTTTGGTAGTAGCAGAAATAGAATCAAAGCTTGATAATGGTGATCGGAAGGCAAGGGGAAAAAGATTCGATTCGACAGAGCGATTTAAGTGCAGCCGAAGAAAGGACTATAAACTATACCTTACATACGAGACAATGACGTCTGAAACATGGAGAGCTTGTGAAAGATATTAAGTAAACGAAGCAAGTTGACATAAAGCGTGCGTTCGACGATAGTACGAAAATCGGAATTGGCATGAGAGGAAAAAATCACATTTTTTAAAATAGAAGCCGTGACTTTACCTAGAACAACCAGGCGGTATTTAGGCAAAACTAGAAAGAAAAGTATACCTAGGAAAAAAGTTGTTTGACGGTAACGTCATCGTTTGGGCATATGATAAGTTTTGTTTGGACTTAACGCTATGTATATATATACACATATTATATAACGTTATATATATATATATATAGCATTATTCGAGGAAATTTAATCCAGCCGCCGAGGTTAGTCGGATCAACACACTGTTGTGGCTTGTCATTCCAGTAGTTCGAAAGCGTTGAATGCTACACGGAATAAGATAGAAAAAAAATATTTGCGAACAAAGAAATTCAATTGATAATAGAATGATCGATCAGAATGAAGAGATCCGTCTGGTTGTTGGGTAACTGCTTAGAATACAAATGAATCCTGAAGGATACAAAAGAAAGGGAAGAAGAGGCAAAAGTAAAGACTGATTAGTAATACATAGTTTTGGAGTGAGTGACAGACCATGAGAAACAATATCAAAATGAAAAAGAATCATTGTAAATAAAACATTTATGCCTAAACTTGTAGTCGTGTTTTCTGATAGCTAGAGGCTTACATGCTTTCGATCAGGTCCATGGGTGTTGTTAATAGGTGATCGGATAAGGCTTTGGAAGAAGTTATTTCTAAATTGACCACAGTTAAAGAATAGAAATTAGGAAACAATGGTGTGAATGCAGGTGGCTAGGGTTAACGCTTTGACAAAAGCTTCCTTTTTATTTAGCGATAGGATTGTTCGGTGCATAGTGGTCTATATTTGTTGAAAGATTATTTTTTTTAGAAAATAGTGTTTATTTTTTGAAATAACTTTGCTGTCATATTTTGTGTGATTTTTTGAAGATAACTGAGAAAGAGATGGCTGAGATATAAAAACCTAGACGCGCAGCATTTCGATCATCCAAACGAAACTATATCAATTTAATGAATAACATACAATGTACAATTTCGATCAGTGAGAAAGTCCCACTGTAGTAGCACCCCGATTTTTTCTTTTGAATTTTTATAAAGGCATTAGAAAGATCATAGTATTTGTATGTTTGGCAATCTCTGTACAGCTTTATAGCCACCACTAAATCATTCATATGGGAAGGTAGACACATCAACTATAGCAGTGAACTGCGATGGTCTATTATATGTGTACGATACAAGTATCGTATAGAAGTCGGCTATGCATCGGGCGAGTCATCGTGACCGCGTAGATAATATCATTCAATTGATTTTCATCTTTTCGGCGGGCGAAGTCTGGAAAACTTTTGAAGTCAGTAGAAAAAAGCATTGTGAACTTCGATATAGGCTTACATTTCGGATATGCGATATTTTGTGTGAAAGTTTTCGCAGCTTACCCCCCTCTACGCCATGTAAATAGGTGATATTCATCAAAGCTCGTAAAACATACGTTCACTTTTAAAACTATTAACGCTAACAATTTTTCTCCTAACAATAAACTAAGTCTCTATAGCAAGAGAAACACAACAAAATACTTTTTCTCAACTTTTTTTTTCTTTTTACAAAATCATTATTTACACGCTTGCCCATTACGGCTACATGAGATGCATCCATTGTATATGTTAATAATAATAGCAATAATATTACGTTTTTACGCTAACAAACGGGGCAAAAAGAACGGCAATATTTCTTTGTCGTTTACGACACTAAAAACAGCGGGCGGTTGGACGACATTACGATGGCTGCCATAATTTGGTGGCGGGACTGATCAGCGTACAGTTAGGTATTATTGTCGCAGCAGTCAACATTTGATATAGTCATTTTGCTGATTATCTTACTACTGAAGAAGAGACTATACCGACCAGTGGATACTGCCGATAAGTTACACGAACAGACGAAATCCTGTTTTAGTACATCGAAGTCCACATTGAAGGGGACGACCGAAGCAGCGCGCACTGTCGTAGGAATCGTGTTACCACGCAGTGGCTGTACAAATACAGTTAATTAATTATCCGGATTAGCTAGAGTTGGCTATCCAACGACGACCTTTGTGGTCCCTTAAAGGGCCTTACCTGTAAACGCATGATGCTACTCAGGACTATATACGGAAGCTGTACTGTGTTTCACGGTTAAACTTCACGACATGTAAGTTAACAAACAACAAGACATAGATTCCACTTTATTATCCACCTACTTCGTCTGTTAACCATTGCAATTGGTGTGCCTTCACCTATAATTTAGATCGTCCTGATTTGTAGAATGCTTCTTTTCTTAGGAATGACAGACTGCTTGCTACGCAGTAATTAAGCAACCTTAATGCTTCACCAAATGGATGCTATGTATCACGAGGAAATGGCCTTAGCAGGAAAATATGCGACGGCGGCTAAAAGCATTAGAGAACGAACGTCGAATTGACTAGATCTTGCCATCAGCTATAGAAAAAGGTTCGCTTGCAGTATTTTGTCTGGCAAATTTTCACAGTAACGAACAGATCACGACTGAGAAAATTTGTTTTAATTTAAATATGAATCGAGGTAGGTTCCACTCTCAGTCAGTTCAGCTCGCCTAGGTATCATCACCAACCAACCTACGCGCTCGAAAAGAATCTAACCACGAAACGATATACACGTACTGGGTAGTAATCATGTACTATTATGCTGCCATCGTATGCTTCCATATTTTGGTCCCAGGGCTAGCCCTGAGGACACTTTCAAATAGGCTCTGCCTCCCAAGAACACAGGACGAGCATAGTGAAATGTTCGACAAATGAATATTCTCAAAATACTTGTTAACCTGTGAAAGGCGCCCGAACGCTACAATTGTGGCCTATTGCCCAGACTTGAAGACGCGGCATGAACACCCCTATTACCCAATAGTCTTGCTGATTTCTTGCGCGCTTGAGAGTATCGGAGGTTATCGAATATTTGATAGCTTCTGATAAGAAAGCATCAATGCAAACGCAATTAAACGTCTGTTCCTGGGCAGCGTTCGAGCTTCAGTAACGTCCACCTTTTCTGTCAACATATCGAGTAGCAACAGCTGCTTCGGACGACAAAACCAGACTTGTTGCTATATTAAGCAATACATGATTTTACCTAAGCTGAACGCTGTTTGGTTACAGAGCATATGCGCAGGCGATGACCAATACCGTCTAGTAGTACTCGACTGGGCTATGTAATAATGCAGCTGGTTCCTTTTCGACATTTATTCGCGTTATACAGGCACTCGAAACAGAAAATATCCATGTTCACTATCCCGAAAAAACCGCTGAACGGGTCCAAGCCACGCATAATTTAAAATTGGACAAATTAACAACAACAACAATGTTATTAATTACGCTATGCAATTGTACATAGTGTAGCAAAGGACTATTGTATGGTAGTAATAATAACAAGTTTATCCGACTAAGATTTAATTTCTTTATCTACATTATAATATCGACAGAGGCAGCAGCAGTATTTTTTATTGACGAAGTATCAGTATTTGGATATATAAGCAATATAAGACTCCGGCGACTGGTCGTACTCGGTCACGGTAAAACACAGCATCCGTTGCAGTTCTCTCATAATTATAGATTATGGGTTGTTTACCGTCACGGTTCAAGTGGCCTGATTTCTTCTGTGCTGTTATTTATGCTGTACCTGTATTTATATACTTCTACAAAACAATTAGCTTATTTTCACATAAGATTCGTTATATATTTAGTAGCAATAAAAGAGATGGATATACATTGCACTTCTACTATTTGTTACATTTTCGTTGCGTCGACAATATATATTTATATATAATATGCTTCTGTATCCCCACGCCATGTTTTGAGATTCGTTGACGTCCAATATACCTGCCGCCATTTCAGCAGAAGCGAAAATAGAAACCGTCTCTCGACGTGCGATGAGTCTCGCTTCTTCACGCAAAAGGAAATACCCACATGGAATCATCCTCACCATCATCACCATTAGGATAATCATACCAATATATTAAAATTACTGAAATAAAATAAACACAGCAGTGATTAAATATAACATATTTCCTATAGGAAAGATAAAATGTTCCCGCTTGATACTGAAGTGCCGACTGGCCCTGTTACTATCAAGTAGGAATGCATCAAAGATTCAGTAAGTGGTTAAGCGTCCTCCGTAAACTTAAATTATTGGACGACTTACCGACAACGGTGGGCCCCGACTGACGTCAGGCCATTTTCAAAAGCAAACTTCATATGCAGGCTTCGGTCAGTATTCACTGCAGGTCAGCAGTAAACTACTGTTGGCCAAGAGCATAAAGCTGCCAGCAATGTGGACCAAATAACCTTTTTCTTAACCTGTCTCTCCTAGGTGCATCAACACCCAATCCTATATAACGTTTGATCCCTCAGGTTGCACTGCACATTCGGTCGTATTAGTATTTCGCATCGCGAAAACAACGTCAGAGCTGTAACAGTTGTATTTTGGTTTTGTTTTTCAGTAATTATTTTGGATAGACCTAGTAGTATTCGTCTACAGTCTTACATTTTCATATTTTCGACAAAAACAACTTAGTCGATTTACTATCACCATATAAATGTTTCGCGGACGATTTGTCTCGGCGACACATCCACCGATGAAACAAAGGAAAATCTCTAGTCCTAGAAGGAGACAGTAAAAAAGCCCCTTGGCACCGTATCTCCTAGGCTTTCAGCGTCTGGCAATTCCTTTGGCTCTGGCACGGGGTCTTGTTCGGGTACCTCGGGTGGAATAGGTGGTCCAGGCTCTAAGGCTGAAAGCAGGCTCAGCGACTGCTCGATGTTGCGTAGATTTCTTAAAATTCCTGATAGTTCCTTGGAAATATCACCTGCATTAGCCGTCGACGATGCTGGCGTGGAGGACAACAGCTCCTGAATTGTTAGCAGGGCATCGCTCCCTTCAGGATACCTCCGGCTTTCGCGTTCCACTAGAGCGCGCGCACTAAACCGGAGCTTTCCGGAAAGTTGCGAAATGGCCTGCACGACGAGCGTGTCTAACGCTGATAGACCTGGTTGTTGACGTTCCTTGTCGCCACCACTGTTTAGACTTGCTGTGGATGCTGGGTGTCCAGTAAATCCCGTAGGCGGCTTCTGACGGCAAGGTGACGCCTGCGGAGAGGGGAGTACCTTCCGGGCGATTTGGGGCGATAAAGGTGATCCCAGTGCTCTCCTCTGCAGCTGCGGCGAAAACGCCGTCCGAGATGGACTCGCAGTTCGCCCACCGCGACCGGACCTTGTGGGAGCCGTGCACGTAGCACGATCTTCCTGGAATAAAAACAGGAGAAGAGAAAAAGAAAAAGTTGCTACCAGAGCGAAAATTCCAAACCGGTAATAAATGCCGCAGGTTAAACGTAACTCAACAGTGAACTGAAATTTAGAAATGAAAATATTTTGAAAATAGCCTGAAATGTCAGCTTTAAATCGATAAAGCTGGAAACATTAATTCTGTTCACTCTGTGAGGGGTGTCTTTGTTTTTGAGGCCCCGCTCAAGAATATAAAACTGTGTTAAAAAACCCCACAAACTTCCAACTTTCTGAATCACTAATTTTTACGGCTATTATACGTACATGTGGAGTGACAAATTTGATTTACACTATAATATCACTTAGCACTTAATAGCAGGTGACCTCGCACTAACCAAGGGCTGATGCTGGGGGCTAATATGCTGCTTGAGGAAGGTCTCCTTTCTCCGCAGGAGGAGGCTCCCAGCCCCCGTTCGAATATCTCTGTCTCGTGCGTCAGGATGTGCGTTAAATGATGCACTACGGCACATGTCCGCAATATCACAAGGAGCATCTCGCCCCTGTGTGTTTGGCTCAAGTGTCGACTGGCTAAGAGCATCGGCGTCTTGCGGGAGTCGGTGCTCAGGCCTTATACACATCATAGCCATATCCTGAGACCCATCTGATTCTTGACCTAACAAGTTGATATTGCATGGATCGCTTTCGTTGCGTCTGAAATCATAGGTATTGAGAATTTGGTAATTAACATTAGCTGATGTTTTACAAAAATACTGTTGTAGTTGATATTGTTATGTCTACAGACACTTATTAGTATTAGTGGACGCCAAATAATAAATCAAAACCGGTAATAATAAAAACCTAAAAATGTGCTAACCCGGGTAAAATAAACTTCAACAGAAGCTTGGTCTATGGAAAAGAAATTCCTTAATTTCTTAATTGAGCATACGACTTATTAAATCACATGAATAAATCTTGGAGGCGAACCCTTATGCAAAATGAAATAGAAAAACAATTTACCTGCAGTTTCGAGGGGATGTCCTGCTCGTGTCAAGCAATCCGGCCGCATTTGCATTCGAGACCGATTCCGACATAATCTGATGATTCAGGTCGGCCCCAGGTCGAGTGCGCTGTTTGGCCGAAGGTAACCTCATTGAGAAGCGGCCTCCATCCTGCCTTGAGAAAAGGTTCGGGTTGCTTCCAGTCAGAAGGTGTACCTTCTGGGAGACAACGGGCTCCTGCAGGCCCAACCGGGCTCTCCTCAGGGCAAAGGCTCGATTCATTTTCATGGAGTCCCCGCCGGTTAGGTGAGACCCAGAGGAGTTGGAAGACTCGAGGCTAAAGTCCGACCCGCCGTAAGTGCCTCTTCTTAGTGTCGAAGGACCGCTAGATGTTACGCTTTTTTCCGCGTTAATAACCCGTCCTGTAGCGCCAGCATTAACAGGCTCGCGCTGCGCATAACTAATTGCTGTTGTCGATGCCGTAGATCGCGCACTTGGTGGGCGAGATACGCCCGAACTTGGTCTACGGACCTTAGCTGACCCTGAAGCGTTTGACGAGACTGGGGTTTTAGTGGTGGTGATTTTGGCTCGAACAACGGCTGGTTTTGAGGGCAGACCTCCAGTAGACGACCCCGAACTGATCGTAGAGGACATCATTGAGTCGGTCATTAGATTTGACGGAGTCGGCACCGAAGAGGCGAGGAAAGTCGTTGAAGAGGTGGTCCGGTTCCGCCGGGGCGGTGCGACTACCGGCTGAGTCTGAAGAGTGATAGATGCCGACAAAATATGGCCAAAATAAATTAAGTCAGATAAAAGCTATTTTTGCCTTAGAACGTTAGTCGTTGATACTGCTAGCGTATCATTCTTGGAAGGAATATCAATTGCAAGGTGGTGCAATATGCTGTCAAGTTAGTCGATATATTTGTTTTCTTTTACCTACACCGCGCGGTCACCATAAAATCGATAATATAGCACATATCTTAGCAGAGCAATTAGTAGATAGTCGAACCAAAACATAGTCGCTTTTATACACAGTAAACTTTGTCAACTTACTCTTGTAACTGGAACATTGTGTTTGTTGATTTTACTGAACGTTCTTGTGCGATTTTGATAGTCCTTAAAACTATTGGTCTCGTCGATTTCACCGGGGACTGGCTGCCTATGCACGCCAAATACCTGGTCAATTTTCGTCCTGGCCTCTCGCGCCTGGGGATCATCTACAGTATAAGTACCCGCCTCACTGCGATGATCCCCGTCCTCTTCGCCGGCCTCGTCATCGATTTCTTCATCGTCGCCGCTGTACCGATAAACACATACATATTTACGCATATTAATAGATGGATGGCATAAGTAATAATACAATTTAGCATTGTCTAATGGATTAAACAATTATCATGTTTTAGTTATTTCTATGGAACAGCTAATCGAAGTTTGTCCGCATTAATTGAACTAAAAATAGTTATTTCTTAAATGGCCAGTCTATGAAAAGGGGCAGGTGAATTCGCACAAAGGTTTGAGGCATAAGGACTTTTTGTATTGATTCGATGCAACAGGTTCATCGCGCTCTTGGATTGGCAAATGCGTTAAGATATTAATCCTCTACCAAACAATCATTTTAATGAGACATTGGTCGCTTTGACGGGCAGTATTTTGTACTCACTCGACGTTGGGTCCATCGTTGTTGCTCTGTAGCATCTTTTGTATGAGAAAGTTAGCACTGTCTGAGAGGCTGCCATTGAGTCCGTTCTGAACGGTGCCCCCGGTTCCAGCTGAGTCTCCGCTGAACTCACTTACGCGGCATTCCTCCTCTTTGTTCCGAGCTGCCAGCTCTCGCCGTTGGAGCACGCTCTGTGGTATCGAGGCGCGTCTTCTTGGCTCGTCGAAGTTTATTACAAAAGCTTTGGCTTTGTTTTTTGTCCTCGTCGTGCAATGAATACCGTCGCCGTGGTTTTCCTTTGCAGTTTCCGAGGGTGACTTTTTCCTTAAAGAAGGGGGTGCTAAACTGATGAAAAAACCCATTATCGTTCCGATCACAAATAAAAACAGTTATGTTTTTGCTTCAAATGTGACACAATGTTCGATTCACATGATACTTTAAATGCAGTTTAAGTGTTAGTTGTCATCGACGATAACCTGGCACACGACGCACTTGTCCCAAGTGTAATCCAGAAGAACAACTGGTCGTCAATCGAAAGTAGGGATGTAAATCTCACACAGTAGGACCTCATTGCACGACGAATGCGTGTTAAACACAGCTCCGAACGCGCAAAATTTGAACTTCCTCAAATTAATCTCTAGCTAGTACTCCGGGTTAACGTTTTGCTTTGGCCAGCTTTTAGTCCCAGAAGATTAACTTATCTTCTGTTGTCTTATTGTTTGATTATGTCAAGGGATCACCATGCCGTCCAATCAAGCATCTATTGGACCATCGAACCAGCCAACAATGCACACAGCGAGTACACATCTGGTGATCATCGCCGCGAAATAGCAGTTCATCATCAGTTAAAAGGCCTTTCGTCTTGTAATTTGTCTGTTCATCAAGTACTGATGGCGCCTAATACGAATCGGCGACGACAGCGTCGTCTATTCGTTTCTCGCTGTTTCCAATTTGACATGTCTTTCATCTCAGCACGACGTAAACAGCGACTCTACATTCGTAATAGTAAAGACATTCGTTCTAGAAGCCGTAATTCAAACGGCAATTGTCGCCATAGTAACACCATACGAGACTTGCTGGTTGACTGATACAAGGGCCGCTGGCTGCATCGCGACATTCCGTCGCTAGAAAAACATAAGCTATATCCAGCAAGTTTAACGATGACTCACAACACTTCAATGCCTCTCTTGTCTGCCTGCCCACTTTTCGTACCAGTGCATTGGCAGAAAGGGTCTGTTGGCTTGAAATGAAGCTGTATAAAGACTGAGTAGCGGCAACCCCAATGGACGCACCGCTGAGAGAGGGCCCAGAACAAGACCTATTTCATGAATAGCCGACATATACCGACGCGTAGACACATACAAACTCATACGCAAACAGTTACGTATCTCATAAGACACACGTCTTTTTTTTTCTTCTTTGGTTGCTGTTACTGTCTCTGCGGAGACTTGCGGGTCAAACAGAATCAAACCCAAGCTGCTAATATATCATACCAGAGCCGCTTTGTTACCATAGTGGTAAATTCTGTTTGGTAGAACTCATACATACAGACACAATATACGTGTGTGTCGTACGCAACGCATAGCAAAATCGTCATGGAAATAGCTAGGAAATGCCGCCCGAACTCTGGACGCAAAGAAAAACGGTCTTTGCCGTAGAGGCTCACTGGTTACAGTAACTAATGCGGTATATGACGGTGCAAGAGTAATTGGGATAGGACCCACTAATGTAGCTGATTCTCTCAACATTGGTGAAAGCCCACCATCGCATTGCTCTTAACAGATTCGGTTAGACAACGCTGGCACCAACGCTTGCCCCTTTGCTCAAATGGCCACCAGACAGAACAATGAAATGTGCCATATGTATATTTGAATGCCCTGAAGTATTCCGAGCCTCAAGAATTCCACGAGTCGCTTTCTGTGGGGCAGTGCATGTACCGCCATCTTTTTACCGTCAACCCACGCCTTCCTCGAACATACGCGCTCGTTCAGCAAACCGAACGCGGCAGCTTCGGCTGTACACGGAAAAGTGGTTGGAGAATTCGGACGGAATTCGGTTTTCGGACGAGATCTAAGCGTTAACTGGGTGAAAGGAGATCAAATGAAAAGTAAGAGACCCCGAATAAATAAAGACCAGCACACAGTCTTATAATTAGTGTGAAATTAGAAACAACAGGAGTGTGAACTATTACCGAAGTTGCAGATTTGCCTTGTAATTATCATGTGCAAGGGGAACTATAAATGTGCATGACGGTTATTTGAGGAATTGCCAATTCTCCCGCTTACTTGGCAAACGGTTATGGCAACAGTTAAATCTATCACGCGACATTCCCTGCCAATTGGCCTCAAGGACGCTTGTTCGGAGTTCGCTAACAGGAAGGAAGCGTTGAGGGCAGTCCTTGCATTCGTTAACAACATTTATATGTTGTACGTATAATTCCGTGATGTAAATTTTTCCCTTCACGTGAACGTATAGCGTGCAGAAGTGCGTTACCTTGGCTAGTTAAAAAGTGATCCGATAATTTCCTTTTCATTTTGTCCATTACATCCCTATCCATTACAGTCATTAAGTAATCGTTTGCTCCAATAGTAAATGCCTTAAACACTATATGCGATCCGTGAAACAATGAGGGCAAGTACTTCGTCGTTCATATTCTGCCAGTTCGTCCCCTTCTTCGAATACAGTCAGTGTAAATGCTGGTTCATGATAGTGCTTGGGTTTAAGTCGATCCTTACCCAAATTAAAAAGTGAGAGAATCAGGTGCGCAGCATTCACGCATGCGTTCCTGGTCTTCTTAGCCACCTGCCCTGAAGCACAACTTGTTCCATCGTCGGCCGTTTTTATGAACTCCATTGACGTGTCCTACGCCGTGTTTCAGCTCATATAATGAGTCATATAACGAGTTCTAATACTAATAGCCCAGTGGCTGGTTTGTTCTGAGTTGCAATGTATTGCTTTTTTCATTTGGTAAGACAAACGAGAATCAACAGGTGCAGGCTTTATCTGACTCCGACATTTGATTCTGACATATAAAATTATTTCAGAATGGTGGACCGCACGACGAAGTAGCGTAAGTACACATCCGCTACCGCACGAAGCGAACAGGCATACGTGCAAATGGCCGCAGACAGCATAAAATTAAGTCCTTCGATCCACTACATAATGTCTTTTTTACGTGTGTTTGCACGCACACGGTTCAATCTACAGCTGAAAAAGACTGCTGACGATAGGGCTTAAACATTGTTAGGCCTCGTTGTCCACTTGGCAGCGCTTAGTCAGTCCTTTCGCGGTTGACGTCGCTGTTGTTGCGTTGTAAAAAAAGCAAATCGACGCCACCCTTAGACCATAATCGCAATTGGCGCTACCGCTCTGCTTATATGGCGCACAACACGAAGTACTGATATGGACTCCGACTGTTCGATGCCTGCCACGGCCACGAAAGGACCAGAAGGACGCCTATGATTTCCGTAATGCTGATGGTAGCGGTGGCGGTAATACCAAATAAAATGACTACTTCGATGGTTTTGTAAACTTCATGAGCAACCGGGATATAAAGAATATATATGTTGGCTTGCCGAGAAAATCAAACGAGGATTACCAATTTCAAAATTGTTAGACTAAATATGAGCCATTTTGATTTACTGCGTTCTGTTATTCCTGATAACATTATAATTCTATCACTGTAGAACTTCTGTGACTTCGGAGCGAAAGATTGTCAGAACTAGTTCATTCCATTGAAGCTACATTAACACCATTTTCTGTAGAAACCAAAGCAGATGATAGCCTGACGGTGGAACATCCGCACTATAAAATGGGATACATTAAAAGTTCCCCCAAGTATTATCGGACAGCCAAACACGTATGTGGCCTGGCATTGTGATAGAGGAAGACGAGCCCCTTCTCTGCTCACTAGCTCCGGTCGATTTCTCAGTAGCTTATGATCCTTTTGCTTGCCGTCGATAGTGAAGATTCGAATCAGTCTTCCCTCCAGCCGGCAGGTAAAAATTGTGAAATCAAGTGAATCTTGGCAGAAGTTTCACTATCTTCAAGGCTCTTCATCTTATTTAGGTCTCAATAAAATCAATGATATTTTTGATTAGGCAGAAATTTCGTTTTGCTTTCAATTATTGTTTTATTTGTTCAACTCTGCTTGTTGTCGCCGTATGTTTCCTATTTAGGTGTAAAGGTAAACTCAGCTTAGAAAGATATCAGGGTAATCATTGAGATACAATTCAAAGAGTACGATAGACTCCATTTATAACGTATGAAAAAACACGGGAGAGAGAAGAGCCTGCAATCTTTTAACGTTCTAGAGAAAATGGCGGCCGTTCGTGTAACGGCGAGTAAGAACGGTTATCTTTGAACAATGCCCTTTGTACGTGCATTGAGATGCGCAGATAGTTTCTGAGGCAGAACGCAGTATTGTTCGAACCATCACACCGCGCAATTATTATCGCCAGTTTTGTTGATACCGACGACACACGCACTGCTATCGTACCGTAATATTTAGGTCCGCTATAAAATCTGAGGTGGTACTTCGCCATACATGCTAAATCTTACACACTCAGGGATCAATGCAGGTGGCAGATTATCCGGGAAGACAGAAACGTGACGGGCAAACCCGGCACTACGTCCCACCTAAAAGTGGGCCGACAGAACGGATGCAGTCAGTCGCTGCCTTAGGCTCCCCGGACACCTACGAACGTTCCAAAAGTTCACTTAAATCACCGATATCAGTAACGAGAAGCGTAACATTTCGATGTGTAAATACATTGTGCCACTTCGGCCGGCGTCAAAATTCCGGTCGATAGAGGCACGGCGAGAGAAACGAAAAGACTAAGCTTGAACTTTAGAGACCTCCTACCGAAATTGGCTGTACAAAATTAAGGCAATTGACAACAACATAGTCGATCTACAGGTATGCACGAGGTGATATGCTGTACAGCGCAAGTACTCAATCAATAGCGCCGTGTTGAAGCGACATACGTGGTGTCGCTGCGAATGTATCCTCTATTTTGTCGTCATTTGTCTAGTATGGTTGTTTTAATATATAAAAGTATTATAAATAAGAAAAAATATCGTTATAGATTGCTCATTTTACCTAGCAAAACTTCACTGACGTTTCTTCGTCTGTCCACCCAATGGCAGTCTAGCATGTATTATATGTGCTTACGCACATATATCATCTGCGAGTATTTATATTTATCGGTCTTTTACTTGATTGTGTAATTGCATATGTCGGGGTAACTACTCAACAAGGCCTACACTATTGTTGATATTATCCAACAAGTCCTTTCTACTTACGGACTAGTAACCGCTCCATTGTTGACACCGGTGGCAGCTCCGCCTGCTCCTCCACCAGAGGTATTTTCAACATGTAGCGTCCCGTTACTTTGTAACATAACCGCACTTCCGTCATTATTGTTGTTGCTCGTATGATTATTAAGCCCCCCTCGGCCAACCGGATAGGTAACGAAAGGTTCTCGACCATCTGCCGGAATTGTCATGGCTACAGGCCTACGAGTCCCAACTACGCCGCTGTTCACACCCCCGACACCGATTTGACGTTCACGGTCGCCACCAGCCGTGGCTTGCTGGGGGCTTCGCTTTACCTCCTGGTCCCAGAGCGACGACGCGACCATACGGTTGTCGATTTGAGGTTCGCTGGGTGAACGCACTGGGGCCGCGTGATACGATGCCACCATTCCGACAAGTGACAGATCTCTCGGAACATGGGCTCCACGCTTTAGTAAGCCTCCTGACACATTTTCCGAAAGGGGGGACGCGGGTGATTCCAGAGTGGGTACTGAATGATTTTTGTGCAGTTCACCCCGCTGAGTAGGTGGCCGAGGAGCTATGCTTCCCATTGAGACGTCTTCCAGCGAGTCGCATCCTTTCATTGGGCTCGTCTGTTAAAATGAAGCGGAAATTATGATCATTTTCGTTAGCAGATTAGCGTAAACACAACGATTAGAAACATGTGGTGGCGAGATGTTACATAGAAAGACATTACTTCCAATGGGGTATTTTAGCTAAACAATTTCACTAAGCAGAGTGAGCAATTTTGTTAAGGTTCTTGTGCATACCTGTATTCATACTATTACCACCATAAATCATCATGGTCATCGCCATATACATTACGATAGGTATTTAGTCAATTTTCAATGTCATACAAACACAGAACAGCTGTGTTTGTTGTATGCTTTGTCCAACTCCAGTTTAAAACGAACCTTGAAAACCGAGAAAGCAAACCCCAATCATGACTGTGTAATAATTGATATTTTTTATATACTTTTATAGGAATTATAATACAAACATTGAAAGTAGCCAGGGGTCGCTGTTACCTGCCGCTGTTGTTGCAATAGCGTGTTCTGATTTTGTTGCTGTGCTATCGGATGTCCGCGAATTGCGCTGTTGTTTGAAATGACGAGCGTGTCCGACTCATTGAGTGAGTCGTCGTCCTCGAGAGGAGTTGCAGCCATACCTGCTTCAGGGGCCGCAGCAGTCGAAGACCTGGTCGTATCAACCTCATCGTTACCTCTGGATAGTTGCATTTCGAACGCCTGCTTATGGTAACCAAACCGGATTTGGTCTCCGTGCTCCAGTTTCACGTATGACTGTTCCGGTATTCGAATGCCATTCACGTAGGTACCTGCGAAGATAAAATCAAAAGATAAATCATAAAAGAGCAACACGATTAAAAACACGTTCGATTAATCACGCTACATTTTTGAGTATTCTCTACTACTACTACTACTACTACTACTACTACAGGGAGACAGCTCGAGGTGCATATAGATGACACCTGAATCTACTACTACTACTACTACTACAGGGAGACAGCTCGAGGTGCATATAGATGACACCTGAATCTACTACTACTACTACTACTACAGGGAGACAGCTCGAGGTGCATATAGATGACACCTGAATCTGCATATGTTGTAGGCCGACTTTTTTCCTAATTAGATAGATCGAGGTTTTGTACAAAACCAATATATCCATTAGGAGATCTACGCTCAACTGTCAGGGAAAGCGCTACTTCAGCAGCTTTTTCCAACTGTGAACCCTACTTTTCGTTAACTCTAGAATAATCCGTTACCATATTTAAAGCTGATTCCTGCTGTTTCATATTTATCGGAAGTGCTGTTGGAATATAATTGAGCCGAGATTCGATCAATGACGACTAAATAGGTCCACCTAAATAAAGGACAGTTCTGTTCGTGACCACACAACGCGGTCTGTAAAATAAAAAAAAAAATAAAAAAAAAATGATTGCCAATTTTCTGCCGAAACATTCCGGTAACGGTGTTTACTATGCAGCACTTTCGAGCGAGCCGAGCGCCACGAAATTAAGGTTTAGGAACGTGAAACTCGCACTTCGAGCTTTGAAAAGATCACGGATTCATTGTCGAAGTGGTCAAAGTCCGATTGGCTTGTTAGACCAAATAATTCTAGTAACAAGCAATGGTCATAAAGCATTTGAAGTTTCGTAACTAATCGACTAAGTTTAACCCCCGACTTTTTAGTAAAATTTGCCTAATTTCGATAATTTTTAGTTGTGTCAAGGTTCTACCTAGTTGTATCGATGGCCAGTGAAGTTAAGAGTGCCAAGGTTTGGAGCGCCAGCAGGAGGTCATCGGCTCAAAGACAAATAGAGCCATGTATCTCGCCCTTTTGAAGTGTCGTGGTCGTTCGATGATTCAACTTTGGCCAGAATACATTACCAAATGGCCTATATACATAGAAGGCATAGGCAAGTGCACTACTAAATGTGTGCGTATACATAAAACGAACATTAACGCGGAATACGATAAGGCCACCGACGATAAGGACGAAAGATACTAATAGTTTTTCTGAGATTTCTAAACCTTCCATAAGGTGCATATTGGTGATTTTAACACACAAAAATTGGTAACACAGTTTGTTGTGTATTGCAACAAAGTGGAACTACTGAGAAATGCGTTTACGGAGATTTGCCTTGGTTGAAGTTGATTGGAAATAGATTTACGATATTTAAGATAATAGTTTTTAGCAGCATAATTTTTAACGCCAGTGAATAAAACTGTTTTTCCCCCATAGTGCACGTTCAGGTCGAAAAAGCCTTCATATAGATAACACAGTTAAGCAGGTTATATCAGAAGATAAATATTTCGACAAAATTTATATTGACGCAAACGATACAAATCGGCTATCCGCTTCGTTACGTAATGGTGTTAACAATCAATATTGCGCACGATCTCTACATGAGCGAGGCGAACGGCGTTTGTAACCGTTGAGCACTATCTGTAACACAGACCAGCCACAAGAATTGCCATCTGCCCCGATCGGCGATAAACGTGAGGACAATTTTTACAATCGTGCTATGGCAGTGGCTATCGAATCGATGTGCGAAAGCCAGCCTGTTATCTGTTACCTTATCTGTTATAGCCGCCATGACCGATAGACGGGAACACAGCCTTTATCCAGCACAAACATTTGCCACAGAATTTTAGCTAAATGCGTAGCGCATAAAGTACAGCGGGCTTCGACAAAGAGCCAAATGCCCCTTGGCTAGACCAGAGTTGATGGGCTGTTTTTACTCACCTGATATCACCTCTCGACACTAGATAAAATGCACTAAGTGACAAGCACACCAGTTTCCTTTGGCCGTGAAAGCTACGCGGTCATCATATCTGATTTCCAGCCATCTTATGAACATGTATCGTTCAGTGTGCATGAATTAAGCCAACAAATCAGCGGTCTCCAGAATGCCTATACAAGCAAATTCTTTCAACAACACTGTTACAGATGTGTGCATACAAAATGACTAGAATCTCATTACTCATAGCATTTTGCACACAAATACTGTTCGTTTAAGAGCCTCGCTTCGATCATTATCTGCATTTAATCGAAGTCTTTAGTCCTATAGACTAACAGCAATGTAGTATCGATATTTGCTCGTCGCTAAGGAAGAAATACAGGTTCGATAGGGCAACGATTCTCGAGGGTGATCCTGTACATTAGCACACCGTGCACCGTGTACCGAAACCGCAAATCATTCTCCATTGATAGCAACTGTCGACAAAGCAATAGCACCAATAGCAGCTCACAGAAAAACCAGTCAGTCACCATATCCGTATCATAAGGGCTGAAACTGCTCGCGGTATCACTTCGATATCAACGGCTGGTTTTGCTGAAGACTATGAGAACGGCGAAGAAAATAGTAAATGGACCCTAATGGCTTGTTTCTCCACACCCACACACTCGTCGTAGCAGTGTGTCGACCCAGGGTTTAACGTGAGCATCGATCGCGAGCAGCAGGATTACGTACTAGACGGACGCAGACACGGACCGTTAATACAGCCAGAGAAGGCAATAACAGAGTCGCATATTGGCATAGGCATGTAGAAGCCAACCCATCATCCGTGGCTGACTCGAATGACTCATAGCACTGGGACCACAATGAACCAGCGCGAGAGAACTAAGATAAAAAGCAAAAAGGACACCCTTTAGCACTAGACTTGCGTAGAACTGGTATGGCGATGCCGTGGGGAAAAGTATGTAATCTCAAAGCTTCGAATTCTATATGATAACGCTAAAGGCTAGTAGTATTTAGATAAGCGAGCATATATAAAAATTAATCCGTTGAGTCAAGAATTTTAACTCAAGGGGCAAATAGTATTTGAGCTTACTAAATTACATTGTCCTGTTTGAGGTTTTAAGATGCTAATTAAAATTCGTTATCTTCAGCACTTGGTAAATTATCTTACATAAAGATTGGTCGAATAAAAATTTACAATCACTCTCACTACTTACAGTATATAAAAAAAAACTACACAGGTATTATTCACAGTACATAATGGCTACATAGGCTATATCCTCTTCATTCAAAGTCAGGCTTTTATAGACATTTGTAGGCCCGTTTTGCTTTGTGTCTACAATGCAATGACTACAACAGTATCATTATTTTACGGATTCCCTGAAATGGAATTTTCTTGCGAGCTTTGCGCGCGTGCATTTAAATCCTACCGCATTAATAGGGGCTGACTAAGTCAACTTCAAAACCATTATGACACGACAATCATAGTTAAGCACAATGCAAAAGAAAACTAAATAGAATCTAAATAAGATCTGAAATTACGTTAAGGCCATGCAGGTACTACACGCCACTTGAGAAAAAATAGGAAGACGCACGTGGGGCACGTGAAGTTCCATCAATGGATACATTTCGCGAGACCTCGTGAGTTTTCTGTGCAGCGGCAGAGACGCCATAGTTCTAGTTTCTGTGTAGAGCCTGATCCATGCCCGTATGCGTGCCGGTACGTTTAGATATACAATTTTCATCCAAACGCTTTCAGGGAGAGTTTCAGTAAAAGTGGTAGTAAAAATGGTTTCGAGGCTCAAACACACATATCTCTCCCTCGTGGACGAAACTGCACGAAACACCTAAAAGGAAAACTTTTTTTAATTTTTTAAAAATATTTAATTTTTAATTTAATTTTTAGCTACACGAATAATGACAACAAGCAGTTGCTATTGGACGAAATCGCACGAAACACCTCCTAAAAGGAAAACCTTTTTAAATTTTCTAAGAAAAATTAATTTTTCAACTTAATTTTTAGCTACACGAATAATGATAACAAGCAGTTGCTGTTCTCAGAAAAAGAAAATTTAACGATTCTCGTTACCATCATAAGGTGCCGTCTTGGTGGTGGTAGTCTGAAGGCCAATGCAGTAAAAAAATCGGCACCCTCCCGCCCCTAGAATCACGTAATGAGTTGCTCAATCAACCTTTTCAGAGAAAACCTTTATAGTTTTGATGGATAGCCTGAAAAAGCAGGTAATCAACTCAACACGTTGAGTGATACTAAATTGGCACAGTTCAGTAATCCCAGGGAACCCTTCTTCGAAATTTCGCCATTCTGTAATATTCTAATACAAGAACTTTCTGTATGAGTGTATATTCTTTCAAGAACGCCTGAGCTTCTGCTCATTTCACACTGACTGCACGATCTGAACCGCATGCAGTGCCTGCATGCAGTGTAGTCGAAATCGGCTATTCAATTTTCCTGACTTTTGGCGCGTTTTTTCGAATGTTATATCGGTCGGCTTTGGACATTGTATTCAACACAGTTTCTATACGGGACTTCCCTATGTTGGTTTTAGGCTAACTGGATTTACCTTGAAGAATAATACCAGTAGAAAAGTTTTGGACCTAGTTTGTCTACCATGTTCTTCCGATTTGGCTGCTGTTTTATACGTTGTAGGCTATATAGAGGCTAATGTTTCTTAGCTCTCGAAGCTGTACACTTAGACGGAACGCCGTGCTTGTACCGGTATGCCTTGTCTGGCCCATGCAGTCTATGTCTCTCTCACTTTGTACTATGCCCCACGAAAACGATCCCTTTCGATTATCGGCATCAATATATTATGTACATATCATAAGAACACTGACACTGTCTTCTGTAAGCGCGTTACTCAACCATATACGAGCTTGAGTTAGCTAGCGGCGTCCCGAACGAACCATTGGCTCTTGACGTAATAGTGTACCTCCACCACGCTGAAGGACCATTCGGGAGTAGTAAGTGGTGGACGAGAATAAACGCACTGCTGTATTCTGTATCGACAGAAAATCTTGAAGGAGTGAAAGAGGCGGAAGTGGCTCCATTA